ATGCATAGCATTATTCTATTATGCAACCTGTTTATTTCTAGACGAATTTTTAAGACTTCAACATGAGCAGCAAGAAACTTTGTAAATTACAGAAACCTGGTCCTGGTTTTTGACCACTCTTAGTCTTCTATTAACAGCATGCTACTTCAGTGTACATTGGGTATCAAGGTAAACGGTAGCTTCGTATGCGCAGTAAGTGTTGAAGTCAAAGTATTCTTAGGCCTATATCAAATCTAATTAAGTGATTCATTAGCGACTAGGTTACCTTAGATTGTTTAAAATTCTAGTAATATTAACACCATGAGTGAAATTTTCAAAAAATAGCCTACTATTAACACATTGAAGAAAAAAATCACAAATTAGCAAAGTTTATTGGTAGTGATCATAATCACGTGATACTATTGCAATTCATTAGCTCTATTAGCAGGTCACTAGTTAGCTACGGTCTCAAGTAGGCGATAATAAGATGAAAGTGGTAAAATATTTTGAGGATTTATATCGAAAGAGCTGATTTCCTATTGAGAGCTAATTGTAATTAGACATTAATTTTATTATCAGAATTTGTCTTTTGAGTTCCTGGTGGAACATAGGGGCTTCAGTAACACGTCTCTATTCCACCCTCCTCTCTGAAGTCTTCCCAACCTGGCTTCACCAATGTCCACAAGCTTTCATTTCTTCCTCACACCATCTCCTCCATGTCACCCTCAACTGGAACGCTCAACTCGTCGTTCCCCTTTTACTTTCCACTCGAGTGCCTGGCCTGACCTGGAGCATGATGTCCCCTAACAATCTTCTCAGTGCATGCCCAATCCCATCCATCTCCACTTTCTTCTGGATATTTGTTCGGTGATGAGTTCTTGGTTGGTTCGTTGCCAGGTCAGAGTGAGTTCCATGTTGCTTACTCATTCCGGCCGTCTGATCGCCATCTTCAGTGTTGAGTGAGCGTAGGTGGAAGCTGTTGATGAATGTCTGTAGTTTGTTGGGAATGCTTTCCGTAATGCACCAAGTTTATGAACCGTCACATGGAAGCACGGACTTGACTGACATTGGTGTTGAAAATTCGGATTTTGTTCACGCTTTATGCTGAGTGGAGTGCAGTAGATCTTCACACTGATTTCAGTTTAATGAAGGTCTGTCTTGCTGTCTTTTTCATCCTGGCTTTGACGACTTCATTTGTGACGCCATCTGTAGTTGAGACTATGCTGCCTAGGTAAATGAAAGAGACTACTTCCTCTAGTTTTCCCCGTTGATGGTTACTGGTGCATATTGTTGTTGGTTGTATATCTTCATCACCTCTGTCTTCTCAATGTTCACTTGAAGTCCCGTCTTTCTTCTCTGCCTCGCCTCATCTCTTCTGTCAACTTGTTGGTTTTTATTAATATAGGTGTAAAACTTCGACACTGTGGTAGAAATTAATTCCATATTAGATTTGTTTATTTGATTTATAATACACAGAGATCTAGTATTACTTACTAGATCTTCGAGTTTGTGCGAGAAGACATCAGACATAAACCATCATCATAATCATCGGCGAAATCCAAATCTTCTTCTAGGGTTATTTTCACCGGTCAACACAGTGTATGCCCATCTTCTCGCTCCTCACAGTTGTCGGTTGCATGATCCAGTCCATTCCAGTTGACCACATTGAGGAAGATGATCGGTGACAGTAGATGGCAGCCTTGTTTTACTCCTGTCTTCACTTCAAAGGCGTCACTGATCTATCCATTATGAATCACTTTTGTATGTGTCATCGTCATATATCTGCTGTTGAATGAGGTTGATGAAATTCTGTTGCATTAAAGCCGTAATGTTGAAGCAGCTGGCAACTTCCGAAATGATAACGAATGACTGGTGAGGCGACTTTTCTATTCATTTAACGTTTCATCTACTCAAGTAACACAAGTTAGCAAAGACGATAAGCGTCAAAGTCAAGGGAAACTTCAAAGAATCCGCTTTTAGCAGGAAGTCTGGGGTTAAAGTTATATGGTTCAGTCAGTCTCACACTTTCACATACGACTACACTTTTTCTATTGCTGCTTTTCTGGACAGTTTTTCACCCATATCTGTGAAGGATACAACTTTGCGTTTATTCTAAGCCATTTACGAGGTAGTTTGATCCTTTATAGGATTAGTATACAACTTAATCTACTCTGTGAAATTCTGAGCAATCATCTGTTGGCTTTTGTGATAAACTGCATCATCTAGTGTCCTCTGATATGTTCCTTATGCAGACTGATAAGTGTTGGCTAAGCTGTAAAGGTTATCGTTATTCAGCATTTAACCAATCAAACATTCTTATCGTCAATAAGAGTTGAACAGGATTAACGGACTATCTAAACAACTTTACCTCAGAATTACAAATTTCCATAGATATAAAACTTGTGAAATAAAACATCTTCTAGGAGTATTAACATTTATTAATTTTGATTTGTCACTATCAAACAATTCCGAAGACATTACAGTTATCATCGTAAGTAAACTTCTGTGAAGAAATAAAATTGATATATCCTTTAAAATTATTTATCTGAGATGTTTACTTCATCCAAATTTGATTGAACATTTCACTTCCATTTCGCTTACCCTTCAACCCTCTCTTTTTAAGCCATATACATCAAAGTAGATGGATTTGTATGCTAACATAAAATTTAATTTGAATGAGACTTCTTTCAATTTATTATTTATTATTATTTGTCCTTATCGTTCCTAATGGAACATACAGCTTCAGTAGCACGTCTACATTACACTCTCTTCTCTGAAATCTTTTAAACCTGGCTCCACAACTACCCACAACCTCTCATTTCTTCCTCACACCATCTCCTCCATGTCACCCTCACCTCCAACAACCAACTCGTCGTTTCTCATTTGATTTTCACTCGATTACCTGGCTTGGCATGACACGTGATGTCTCCTAACAATCTTCTCAGTGTATGCCCAATCCCACCCATCTCCACTTCCTTCCATTGCATATTTGTCCAGCGATAGCTTCTTGGTTGGTTCGCTGACAGCCAGAGCTCCTTGTTGCTGATTCTTTCTGGCAATCCATCTGATCTTCAGTGTCAGTAGCGAGCCAGAGTAGGTGGCAGTTGTTGATGAATGTCTATAATTCGTTGGAATGTCTTTCGTAACGCGTCAAGTATCTGAGCCGTATAGAGGCACTGACTTGACTGAATTGGTGTCGAAAATCCACATCTTGTTCCACATGCTGAGTGCAGAAGATCTCCATATTGGTTTCAGGTTAATGAACTCCTGTCTTGCTATCCTTCCAATCTTGGCTACTGTGACATCTTCGTCTGTGCCGCCGCCCGTAGTTGAAACAATGCTGCCTAGATAGGTGAAAGACGCTACTTTCTTTTAGTTTCTCCGGTTGATGGTGATTGGAGCCTGTTGTTGTTGGCGGTGATGTGTGTTGGGTATCATCATCACCCCTGTTTTCTTTACGTTCAGTTGAAGTCCCGTCTTCGCTGCCTCGCCTCTTCTGTCAACATGTTAGTCTTCGCCTGTAGATCTTCAAGTTTGTGTGACATTAGACACAAGTCACCATCTGTGGCGAAATCCAAATCTTCTTCTAAGGTCTTTTCCGAGGTCCAGAGTATCCCCCTCTTCTCGCTCCTCACAGTTGCCGGCTGCATGATCCATTCCACTGCAATCAGGAATATCATGGGTGATAGTAGGCAGCCTTGTCTTACTCCTGTCTTCACTTCAAATGCATCACTGAGCTTTCCGTTGTGAATTACTTGGTATGTGGAGTCTTCATAAAGTTGTTGAGTGAGATTGATAAATGTTTGTGGTATTCCGTAGTGTTGATGCAGCTGACTGGCAAATAACTTGTCGGTCGAAGCTGTCAAAGGTCTTTTCAAAGTCGACCACTCTATTCATCTCAATTTATCAAAATTAGCTATAGGTATTCAGTCAATGTGAGCAATTCAATGTCATCAGCTTAATACGTTCAGATACACCACATAAAGGTTTGACCCACAAACAAACAAAAATCACTTCCATTTATTTAACAAAATCTACGCATAGATATGAACGTTTTCTAATTACTCATATTTTTCGGTAGTATAAACAATTTATGCTGTGAAGGCATATACGAGCGTAGTTGTACTTCTTTCCTTGAGGTAACCATAAATTTAGCTGTTTTACCTTCACACTCACTGAAAAGCTCAAAGCTAAAAAGTGTACACCATCTAAACCCATGCCTTAAAAACTGGTTTTTTTTAAAGAGGGAACTCGACTTTGAAATGATGAAGGATATTTTTTGCTTCAGATGGATGATGTTGGTTGTTTTTTACATTCTCTGAGATGGATGGTTTAATCGTCTAGCGTTTATTGTCTTTCTAGACAAAATCATCAGCTCTGTCATCAGACTGAAATAGGCTGTTAAATATCAACACATTTAATGGCCATTCATAGTTGACTTAACAAATTACTGTGATGCTATAGTCAAATAGAGCCAGATGACGATCTCTTTTAAATATGTGGGCCACCGGAGAATATCAACTGTTTATACGCTTCAAATAGTGCACAAAATCATTGTATTAGAAAATAGGCATAACTTAATGATGAAGAAGGATCAACTAATTTGTGATCACTTCATGATTTTGCTGTATTTTCATTACAATTTATGAAGATAAGTATAACGATGAAAGTAAATGAGGAATAAAAATGCAAAATGTTTTTGTTTTTCCAAAAAAATATCAGCAGACATAAAAAGTTGAATAAAAATACACACACTAAAGGTGAATTCCACATGTAACAATTTGCCTTATTTTCTAAATAATATGATATGTAACGTCTAATTTGAATGCTTATGAGTTCATTTGTGCGTATATTCATCTGAATGACTGCTCAGTTAACACATATATATATAAACAACAAAAACTGAGAAACACAATGAAACTTACAACTACCAATGACATGGAAAGAGGAAATAAAGTATTTTAAACAATAAATAAATAAATTAATCATTTCAACATACTAATAAGACAAACCATTAACAATTAATCTTTTGTCATCTGTATTTCAGATAAATATTTTGTATTACTTTTTTGACAGTATTCTTTATTCACCCACTTGTTCAATGTTTCAATTGAATATTGAACAGATTTTAGCGCTCCATTTAAACGTTGTAGTAATGGACCAGGGATTGGAATAATTTTATTATATGGTAAATTTTCAAAATCATTTGTAATAAACTTTGCTATCTCTTTAGTTTGAGTGACTAAACCCTTTAAAGCTTCACAAATTTGATCAGCTATATATTCTAATTTTTTTAAAGAATCCACTTGAACTATTGATGAAAGTGAGTTACTATTATGAAGATTGTCATCATAATGACTAGAAGATGATAGTTTCATATCATTACAGATCATTGATGTACAACGTATTACTTCACTGCATGACTGCATTACCATTTTAGTCTGTCCAATAATTGACTGTATAGATAGACTATTTCTTGTTAAATTTTTATGAGAAAAAGAATATCCTTTTACAGTATCATTTTGAAATTGAAGTAAATAGTTAAAGTATTCATCAATAACTTTTAGTACACTTAAGCATAGTTGAGATAATTTTTGGAAATGAGAATTTTGAAACTTTTGTAATTTAGAAAATTCTATTTGTTGTTTTGACATTGAATTTGATATAGTGCTGATAGATTCATGAGATTTAGATAAAAATTTTCGATCATCTGTAAAAGATTGATAAAGATTATCTGTAATTGGAGAAAATGAAGAGAAAGGAATGTTTAGTTGATAACTTGTATTACTTTCTTGTACAGATTGGCATATTTTAGGAACTAATTCAGACGATTTATTATTTGAATTATTGAATAATATTTTAGAATTTGCTAAAATTGTTGTATAGAATAAATTGACTTCAGTGAGTAATTGTTGAATAGTATGTTCGAATAAAGTTATAGTTTTATCATTTTCATCAGTGTGAACATGATCATTTCTGTTCATATTAAGGATAGATTGTTTATCAAAATCTTTACAATGATATGTTTCCTTTTGATTATTATAACCAGTATTTAAATTTCTTTTAGAAAAATTAATGAATATTTCGCCTAAATTCTCCATATTCTGACGATATGTAATAAACTTACGTGTTAGACCATAATCTAATGATGACTGTTTTGAAAGACCAATCATTATTGTGCATAATTGACTAATAACAATAAATTCATTGTCCAATTGACTAAATAATGAAAATATTGAACCTGTTGAATCCAGTGATTTACTTTGATGTAGTACATTCATTAAATTTAAACATTTATTCTGTATTCTTGCTTGAATAGGTAACCAATAACCAGTAAAATCTTTAACTGAATTAAAGGTACTTGGAGTTAATTCAACAGATGATTTCAATTTGTTTCTATCAATATCTATTGTGAAATCAGTTTTCAGAGGTGAGCACGAAGTACTTATTTTAGAGGCTTTTGTATTCATACCGTTTAATAAACTTCTATCTTCATTAAGACAACTTGAATTTGATTCGATTTTAATATCATTCAATTTTTGTACTGATACTGAAGGATGTAGTTGGTCTTTTTTTATCTGTAATGAAGATTCTTCAAAATGATTGATTTCATTCTGTGTCTTTTCATGATTATGATTGAAGTGAACAGATTCTTGTTTTATCTGAGTCTGAGTTCTATCTGAGTCTCGAAATTCATCTGGTATACTAGCTGGTAAATCCTAAAATTTAACGGTGGTAAAAGATATTATAAGTAAAAGTTATTTGACGAAAAAAGCTATTGACAAAAGAAAATAAGAAAGTTCGAGGAATAGGATGTAAGTAAGTCTCGCTGATATCTTCTGTCCAACTGACTTGTAACATCCAATACCAAAATACAGTTCATCGCAGTGTTATGTCACTAAGCCTAGTGGCCGTATTTCAAACTTTATCATTGAACTTCGGCCAGTGATGAGCACTCAAGACTTGACAAATAGATCAGTGACCCATTGGTAACCGATTCGTGTAAATGATCCAGTCTCATAAGATGTCGGTAGTGTAGCGATTGGCTAAATGTTAGAGCTACTGACCGCTAAACTGAGTATGTCTGGTAAAGACCTCTGAGTGAGCGTCACCTACCTCATGGTTGCCTATTTGCCAGTTGAAAGTTAACACAACGCGGTGTTTTAACCAAAACTTCTCAGTTACTACATAAATAGACGGTTTCATCAGTTACTATTTCTGTCAAAATGTATCGACTGCATAACTGAGGTGAATACGGAGTTCAGAATAATTTTAAAAAGTTATCACCCCATTGTAAAGAGTTTAAGATAGAAATTTTGTGTATTTTCAAAGACTGCATGGCAGTAGTGATTAAAAATCTGAGTACATTATCATGATACCCCCAAGGGAATGTTGCGGCCCACTGAGGTTACTAATCTGACCTACTGACGAATCGGTTCGACAGTTTGCAGTTCCTGACATCATATGCTTGCAGTTTGCTAGTTAAAAACTGTACAGACGATGTTTGACACAAACATCCAGTCAATCATGACTGAAAAACCGACAGAGTAGAAATTTACATGCAACTGAAGCAGTTCAAATCGTCACTTTTTCAAGGATACACAAATGGGAAAAGAATAGAAGTAGGACGGCGTTTACAAGAAAGACATACACACACAAATGTGAAACAAATAAGTAATAATCAATAAAATCTTCAGAGCGCTAATGATGACTAGGAACGAATACGTCTGATCATTTGTGTTCTTTCTTTGAAGAGTATCCACTTAGTTTTTACAGTGATTCCCTGAATAAATCTATGTTAGATGGTTTAAAGTCTCCTAAATGACAAAGACTGGTAGGCAATAACTCCCTGGGTTAAAGTCACATCTTGATCTGGTCCTCATTGGCTTTCGTTCAACCTGATCTTTCTTCAGCTAATATTGTATCTTGCGGATACTAAACTACAGATATTCATCAACAACTGCCGACTACGCTGGCTCGTTACTGACACTGAAGATCAGATGGATTGCCAGAAATAATAAGCAACAAGGAACTCTGGTTGTCAACGAACCAACCAAGAAGCTATCACTCAACAAATATGCAATGGAAGGAAGTGGAGATGGGTGGGATCGGGCATACACTGAGAATACCGATTGGGGACATCACGTGCCATGCTAGGCCAGGCACTCGAGTGGAACTCAAATGAGAAACGATGATTTGGGTGTTGGAGGTGAGGTTGACATGAAGGAGATGGTGTGAGGAAGAAATGAGAGGTTGTGGGCAGTTGTGGAGCCAGGTTTAAAAGATTTCAGAGATGAGAGTGTAATGTAGACGTGCTACTGAAACCCTCTCTTTCCCTAGGAAGGCAAAGGACAAATAATAAATAATAATAATATTTATTTTTCTCATGGAATCTTCTGAAAATGCTCTGGGTCATTATGGGTCAATTAAATTTGGGGTGTTTGTGAGGATTTCAGGATTTTTCAAGTTCATCATGGACTGACATCATTTGGAGAAGCGTTGGAAAATTGAGAGCACTGGACAGCTGTTTCGTTCTAGTATAGGGGCCAACCTGTTGGCGGTGACGACAAATACTTAGGGATGATATTGGGCAGCGGTTGCGCTATGTCATGAAATGACAGAAGTTAGAAATATGAACTGCTGGATTCCAACCCAGTGGCTCAATGGTAACGTGCTGGTCACGGAACCTGAAGATCATGGTTCCGATCCCCGTCAAGGTCATGGATGCGCACTACTGAGGAGTCTCATACTAGAACGAAAGAGATATCCAGTACTTCCATGTTTCCAATATTCCTCCAACTTATGTCAGCCCATGACGAATACCAACTTGAAAAATACTACAGTTCAGTCTTTAAAATGAAGACTCTGGTTAACAGAATATTTCTATGTCAGTTGAATATATAGTACAGTAAGGTAAGATTGCACAAAATTAAACAGGTATATAACGTTAAACAACGCTATCCACTTGAACATATACAGCCAAGTAAGACAGAGAGGAGGATTCAACGTACAACCTTGAACAGAATAGCATCACTTCAATTCTCTATAATTCAAACTAGCATAAAAAGAACAGGTTGGTAGAAAAGAGTCCTATTAATGCAGACAAAGGTGCATAAAAAGAGGAATTAAAAAGTGGAGGTTACTGAAAATATTGTAGCTTAAAAGAAAGTCAAAGAGTGAATACATCTGAGACAGTGGGGCCATTTTTTAGCTACGTCGCCAAAAATCTTTGACCAATGATATCCATGGTCATGAGGACTCCATACGTGGATCTTACCAGCAGTCACAAATTCAGTGAACTGGTGCCGGTCGGTACCGGAGAGGATGCAAGTTGGCCATCGCCAAACAGACCTGCTGTATCATAGATGAGATTTATTCACCAACCAACCCCGTTCGGGTTGATGAAGCTCCTAAAGTAAGAGGGATAGTCAACACATTCTACCACTGTTCTCTCTATCCTTCAAATGGGAGTAGTTGGGGATCAGTCCTGGAGCACGATCTTGTATTTGACAGATGTGAACCGCATGCCGAACATCCACAGATATCTCTTCAAGGCATTCGGAAGACCCTCCGTTTTCTAAGCATGTTAACCTGTCAGGAAAATATTTCCTGTGTCCACGAAGTCAGCCAGATCGCCTGCAGGGAGTAGATCAATCCTTGTGAAATCAAATGTGTATGTCTTGATGTTTATAAAGTACTACACTTACTAGCAATTTAAAACTAATGAAATTATTACTTCTTTCAGTTAGTATTCATTACATTAAGGCCAGTCGACAAACATTATCTATTCTCAAAGCATGTCTCATAGAATTCGAACTGTGAGTTTACAAACCAATGAAACGAAGAGTCCAAGTTTTGTGTACGATCATGAGAATTCTTGTACTTTTCTTTAACAGACTCAGTTTCTTTCAACAACTGTTATTAAAGTACAATGCATAAGTCACCTTAGTGAACTGGATTTAATTTTTACTAGTGAATATACATTTGTCTCTGGAACGAATATACTAAATTCGTAAAGGTTGCTATTATTTACTAGTATAATTGTTTTTATATTATACTGTCGTTGATTGGACAGAAAAGATCTGTCTCTATTGGCATATAGGCTTCTGTGTGGATGCTTCCATATTGCCAGCGTTCTAATTATGTTAATGATGAATCGTGGCTGGCAGTGGAATCCAGGATGTGAATTTCGTTCTATTTGGGACTACTCAGCTGGATGTATCTGCTTCTCAGTGAGTGATGTTGTTCCCACCGAGATTCAGACTCGGGAGCGAACGCTTTAAACGTCAGAGCGTTATCTACTACACCACCAAGCCACGATAGCTACTTCTTGTGCGATCCATCATTAACATAATTAGATTGTTGGCAATCTCGACGCATTAGCACAGGAGCCTATGGGCTAATAGAGACCGATCAATTCGGTCCAATCAATGACGGTATCACATAAAAACAATCGTACTAAAAACTATACCCGTCGCACAAGAGGTGGCCATCGTGGCTCGGTGGTATAGTGGATAACGCTCTGGCGTTTGAAGCGATCGCTCCCGAGTCTGAATCTCGATGGGAACAACATCACTCACTGAGAAGCAGATACATCCAGCTGAGTAGTCCCAAACAGAACGAAATGCACATCCTGGATTCCACTGCTAGCCGCGATCCATCATTAACATCCTATTAATTACGTTGAACGTTTATACTACTACTCAGTAGCCAAACTATAATTCTTAAAGTTTTCGTCAACAGTTCATCTGAATTCGTACATGTACTGAATTCCTTAAGCTATTTCACTGATGGGTTCAATCATAAAACCGTCAAATATCTCTCAGATATTTACATCATCTTGATAAAGTTGGCGAAAGCTACAGATTAACATGGATGGCTTCTAGTCATTTATGTTATTAAGAAATAAGTTGCACTGATTCTGAGTTTTCTCAAATTTTAGTTTAATGAATTCTTGATGAGACTTTCCTGTCATGAGAAATTATAGTTTTATGAAATCTGTAAGGTTTCCTAAAGCTGAACAGGACTTGATCACATATATAACTACAGGTAATCTGAATGTAATGAATCAGTCAACAAGGAGGATTTTAAAATAATATGCATCACTAGTTCATGTAACTTTGAGTACCGTTAAAAACTTAAAAGCACAGAATAGCTGTTAAATCCTCGTTTTGAAGAACTATGTACAACATACCGACAACTGTGTATACAGTCAAGCTCAGGGCCATTGGTTCTCATGAAAAAGACGTAATAATGTGACCACAGAGTTAAAAACCTACTGTTCCACGAATGCATGCATATCAACGTGCCTTCATTTCAACACTGAGGTATTCCTCTCGTAACAATCCAAATGTAGTTAATACAGGAGTTTCAAATATATTCTTCATTATTATTTCGCCCTTGGATTCCTAACAGAACATAGGGCTTCAGTAGCACGTCTCCACTCCACTCTCTTCTCTGCAATCTCTTCAGCCTAGCTCCACCACTGCCCATAAGCTCTCATTTCTTCCTTACACCATCTCCTACATGTCACCCTCATCTCCGACACCCAACTACTCGCTTCCCATCTGGGTTCCACTCGAGTACCTCACCTGGTATGCGATATCACCAGTCGACCTCCTCAGTGCATGCCCAATCCGATCCATCTCCACTTCCCTCTGCATGTTTGTTGAGCGATAGTCTCTTGGTTGGTTCGTTGACAACCAGAGTTCCTTGTTGC